CCTGTAGACAATATACCCAGCCGGCGAAGCCTCCAACCAAGCAGGCAACCGGAGCCGTCTCGCCTCTTCCACCCCAACCATCAGCAACTGTGTCCCGATCCCTCGACCCTGGTAGTTCGGATGAACAACCAGAACTTGTAGAACTACACAATCAGCCCTCACCCACCACCCACATCGACAGCAAACACTGCAAGCAAAAACAACTCACTAGCAACCGCCCTCCCCCCAATCCACTTCGCCCTCATCCTCGCCTTCAAATCCTGAAAATCCAAATACACCTGCGGACACAGCGACGTCGCCGGCGGCGTGGTCCCCCGTTTCCGCGCCTCTTCTACTGCTTTCGCATACGCCTCGGAGTCGCGGTAGATACTCCACCACGACCAGCCCACGATCTGGCCCGATTCGGCGTCGATGGCTTTTGTGATCTGGACGTGTGGATCGTCGCGGATGGCTTGCTCCAGGTCGGTGGCGAAGGGGGGGTCGTCTTGCGTGAGAGGGCCGTACATTGTTTCCAGGAGGTCGTTGTTGGCGAATGCTGCGTTGTGGAGTTTGGCGAGGGTGAGGGCGTCGGTGGGGAGGGCGGGATGCAGGGAGATAGTGTTTGGGAGCATGGTTGTGGTGTTTCTTGAGGTAGGATGGATTGTGCAGTTATGAAGGCGGATGGTTTCAAGGGTTATTGGGGTTATAACTTGTATATGTTTAACTGTGGCCTAGGCGGGGGCTGCCGTCACCTTCCTAATTGGGACACCGATGAGGCTAGTGGGCAGTTCGTATTCGGTTGCAACGGGGATATACTGGTTAGTTTTGAGCATACGACATGTTCCTATTTGATGATTATGGTTGTTTGATTGCTGTTTATGCTAGATTAAGTCGAATATGTACTTCAGTTTATGATACATGGCATGATGATAGCAATGGCAAATTCCACGCTGTTAATGTGAATATTTTGGACTGCAGCAGCAGATTTGAAGCCCTGTTCGGGTCCGGATGAGTTTCACTATTACACAAATTCAATTAAGCTAAAATCCTCTTAAACCAATGGAGAGCGTACTACGTCTCAGACAGAACGCAGGTTTCTCTCAGGGCCTACAGTGGCCTGTTTGCATAATTTTTGACCGTAAGGTGCGCTGTGGCCATTCACGCAATAGAATTAAGACAAGAAAGGCAAAGATAGAACGCGATCGAAACGAAAGCAGACAGAGAGTTGAGGACCTCTCTCGAGATCGCTTCATTAGACCACGAACTGATTTTTGAGAATGAAAGGGGATTGACAGAGTTCAGCTCAGGTCAGGTCATTCAGGTGACATCGAGTAGGATCGATGCGCCGGGCGGAAGAAGGACGGTGGGTATCTTCTTAACAACGTGCTAAGCATCGCAACCATGCCCGAAATAGCACGCTCAGTAGGCACCTAAGCTCCTCAGTCGGGTTCGTGGTTATGAACTTATGACTCGGCAATAGATCGAGCTTGCTTCAGTCGGTGTAGCGCATAAATCTCCTCATCCAGACCTGGAGCGGGGCCCTCAACGATCAGACCCGGCGCAACCTGATTGATCGGGAGCGGAGCGACCGGTCCAGCTTTCACATCCAACTGCGTCTTCCACTGTACAAGCTGAGCAGACGAACTAGCATAGACGATCCGCCCTAAACCCGCATACGCGTGGGCAGCTGTGCACATTGGACAGTGCTCGCCAGAAGTGTAGACAGTGGCAGCGGCGCGGTCGGCGGGCGCCATGTGCTTTTGGGCCCAAACAGCCAGCGTGAATTCCGGGTGCAGGGTGATATCTGCTTCGGTCCTGATTCGGTTGCGGTCCTCTCTGAGGATCTTGCCCGTGGCATCCACGAGCACTGACCCAAACGGGTCATCGCCGGCATCAAGCGCTTCGCGGGCTAGCTCCACACACCGACGCAAGTAGCCAATATCTGTGCTAGACAGCATTTTGCTCTACTATTAAGGCAGTTGAGGATATTTAACACTTGGAAGGGTGTCAATCGGTGGCTTGGATGAAGAGCGCTTCCTGGGGTTGGAGCTCAAGTCTGTAAGGGTTGAGTGATTGCGATAGAAGTAGGACGCTTAGTGCTCGAGAGGTTGAGAGGTGGGAAGCGGAAGGGGAAGAGGGAAAATACAATCACATCATTCTGACTCAAAGTAGCTAGGGGCTTGGAATGCTGCTATAAGCGAGTGGACAAGAACGCTACAATAGGCCTGTGAGATAGATGGAGACGGCACGGAGGTCGGAGTTGTATGAACTATACGTCACACCTATGCCTATGTGTGAGAGAAGAAAGAACTATTCTTAAACAATTATTTCCGATGTATCCAAATACAGACTAGAATGGTTTGGGGGCCAAAACAACTCATATGTGACATCTGCTTGTGCGGAGGTTCCTGTGCGGGGCGCAGTCAACATAACTTGTATTTGCTGGGAATTAGAAGGAAAAACAGCTGGACGTCTTGCTTACCAAGAATATATAGTAGTAGGCTTGCCAACACGGCCTCTATAGGCCGCATGGATCCACTGTTTGTTTTGGAGATTTTATTAGGATCTAGGGCCTTCTTATAGCCTATTAGTACTTACTAGTATATCTCTTCTACTTCCACATTGTACGTCCCTGCCCATCGTTCACAAGACCAGGGAAGGTCCGTACTCATTGTGCAGGAAATGAAACCTTGACTTTTGACCCTTCCTGGTCTTATTTAAAAGGGACCATATCTGCAAGAAAGACACACGAAATATATTCTGTATACCAAGCTCTATTATGTTCTTGATTGAGCCTGGATTCACAACAGCCACAAACACAGCTTCGTCTTTGATTCCTCAATCAACCATTTGACCACCGTATTTATCATCATCGACCATGTGCTTCTTCACCCACGAGTTCACGGCATCCATATCACGGCATTGGACAGCAGAATCCCATTTGACGAAGGAGCCGGTCAATCTCTCATCCGGTGTCCTGTGAAGATACTCTGCAGTATAATGTTTTAAGCCAGCCTCATCAATGTAGCTATAATTCCGATTCCACCAGTAAACAAGTGAGATGTCCCCATGGCAGAGGATAGCTTGTCGGAGCACATCAAAACAATGGTCTGAAACGATAGATTCTTCAGTAAGCATCGGGTCTGGAGTAAAGCAGTAGCAAGTATGACTAGATGCGGGGGCATACTTATGTGATGTTCAATCTCATGAGTTGACGCGCCAGGGTAATAACGATCGGGATGAAACGACTTGCGAATTCGATTAAGACAATGTAATTGGTGGTAGACGCCCAATCCATACACGGAATATCCAGGATCGATGTATGTGTCGACTGACTCCGGCAGACCCTTCTCAATGGCCTTCTTTGTAGGTATCAGGATTGCGTGGTCGTGTTCTACTCCCACTGTCAGTAACCACGGTCAAATTTGCTTGTCCACAGCTTACCTCGCAGCCACCCGTTCCACGCCTCGTCCACCTCATCCGACGGAGAGGACTGGAAAATCTTGTTCGGTTTATAATGGGTATTATAGGAATGAACAACGCCATCCTCACGCAACGGTGCTTAAGAATAGTCATCAGATATGCATGCAGTTCGAGCAGGCCTGAAATCGTAGTCTGGATACTCACAATATGGAGGCTGTTCTGTGTCAGTGACGAAGTTCGATTTTTTGAGGAGACATATAGAGACAATGAACAGAACTAAGGAAAGCAGTGCATTGAAGAAGAAAACTAAGTTGACACAGGATCTAGAGTTCCAGTTTCCCCTGTTCCGGTGTATTGGTAGCCAAGTCCAGAGGAAGGCTTTTTTCTCAAGATTAATGGGTTCTCCCTCGTTGATATCCTCTGATGATCGGATTGGGGAGTAGCGTTTATTGTAAAAGAAAGTCATTTTAGTAGGTTTAGTTCAGCAATATCCTGCAGAAACATCTGAAATGTACAGAGGTGATATAGTACCAGAGATGGTGGAGGCATTAAATGCACAGAGGGTCCCATATGATTGAGTGGTCGCAGTAGCTTGCCTTACTGAGGAGCATGTATGCGTTGTACTACCACATTATGCAATTCCTACAATGGCAGGCTATATATGTACGCCCTGTCCTCTGCATGCAAGTTGTTCTAAGTAATCACACAAAAAAGAAAAAAAAATATATATATATATTTATTATACACAGAGCAGATCCAGCAACATTTTTCTGAACTAAAATAATATATGACATCTCTGTTCTCATGCATTGATGGTGGAGAGAGTTACTTATGATATACCACTCACATCTTCTGCTTTTTCTTATTAATTGGTGTGTCTTGAAGTGATCTGCAATCGCCCCCGTTGGTTAGGCTTTCTAGGTAGAGATCAGCCAGCAACTGCCCCAACGTCATTTGTCAATCGCGGTGCTTTTGGAATTGAAAGCGTGGACTATCTGTGACCTGTCTAATTCCCCTCCCTCCTCAACTTCAGCACCACCCCTTACCTTGTAATGTGATGTGATGCAGATTGTACCCTCCGCAGGTCAAAGTGAAATACAAGCGGGTGCATACAATTAACCGACAGAGTTTCCTAGTGTGCCCATCCTGAATAATTCAGAATGTGTTGATTTATTGGGTACATCTTATACATCTTCCCCCATACCATGGAGCTTTGCGAAATTTCTCTTTGATGTTTTAACCAGTAATTCCACAAATTTGGTTTCAATGTGGGTAAAATGACGATTTTAATTAGGGCTCTTCCGTTAATCAGCTTCATCTTAACCTGGTGCGAGGCCATTTCCCCCTCTAGTATAGCAACCGCTCAGCAGCATTCATCGGAAAAACAACACGGATCAAGTTCAGAACTCTGTCTTCTCGATGACATTTTCCGGCAATTTGATATCTGTACACCGCTCTATACCCCTTCTTTAGGTGCCTTATCTTCATACGGGGAGCTGGATCTCTGGCAAGGCACCTGTCATGGCGAATACTGCGTTTACACAGAACGGCAGTTCTGGAATGGACGTGGCATTTCCTTGGTAACTCGACCTGAAGTGATGCGAAACGCAGCTTTGAACGCAATAGTACAGAATTCTCGGCAACGAATTACGGTAAATGTCGAAAAAGAAGCCTTTGGGGAGGTTCAGATTCCCGGGAAAGGGGTAGGGGTGGTTGCTAAGCGATCTCTTCACAAAGGCGACTTGCTCATTTCGGAGCCTCCTTCATTGGTGGTACACCTAGACATGCGAGCCGCTGTCCCAGAGAAACAGCGCCTTCGAATGCAACTGGAGGGCGTGGATAGACTCCCGCTTTTGACGAAGTCGGAGACCATGGGATTGATGGGCCACTGGGGAGGGGACCCTGTGGAGGATATCTTGGACACGAACTCATTCACGGTCACTGTGCATGCAGCAAACGACCATCATGCATTGTTCATACAGACTTCAGTAAGTCTTTGCTTCCTCGAATACATAGCTCATATGGGACGATATCCTGATGTTCTTTATTCTAGAGGCTCAATCATGATTGCCGGCCAAAGTGAGAATATCCTTATCAAGAAGCACCTCAAATGCTTACTGCTATTGTCGGACAGTTGCATGTACACCTTTGACCCAAAAACCTTCACACAGAACATGTATACGATACGGGACATCAGTCCTGGCGAAGAGCTCACCATTTCATGTGTGTCGCTGAAGCCCAATCCCTAGAGCCCCGCAGATTACTGACTAACAATTGGCGTACTCGTAACCAGATATTGACCCTACAGTGACCCATAAAGAACGACAGGAGGCGATCAGCTTCTGGGGCTTCAATTGCTCTTGCCATACTTGCACGATGAGCCCAGAGGCCATTGAACAATCCGATGAAAGAATTCAGCGTATTAATCGCTACAAGAAATTACTCAATGACTGGTCTACACCTCAAAATAACGCAACTCCCGAAATGGCGAGGACGTTAGTGGACCTGTACACAAAGGAGAATCTTTGGTGTCACATTGCAGATGGCTACCGACTTGCAGCCCATGCATACAATGCCGTGCGAGACAGAGGGAATGCCTTGAGAATGGCTAATCTCGCATTTGGGTATGGTTTGCAGGCCTGGAGGTATATGGGACGCAAAATGATTGACATGCTGGACCTGATGACTAGCCCCGAAGAACATTGGACTTGGGGTCAGAGAGTCGTGATAGACACTGCCTGACTGGAGATTAAGATGCACAACAAATATATAGGATCGTCATATTTGTGAATTTTATACCCAAGGAGGAGTTTGTGGGAAGTCAAGCCCCCGGAATTGCTCCAAAGAAGATCTTGCAGGTGGATACTGCATTTCGGTCATAGATGTAAAACCTTTCTAGAATCTAACCTGCCCGAAGGTCGAACAATGTAGCGTCTGCGCCCTCGAGGTCGGTGCTGTACATGCCACTCTCATGCGCCTGTAACGAGTCCCGATAATTGCCACTGTTCCGCATCTCCAGCTGCATGTCCAGGTTCCTCGAAGAGACCGGTACCAGACGCAAGCAACAGTGGAGCCCAACAATGACGAGAAATATAATCGCTGTCAACGTCGCGGTTATGAACGCGAAACGGGGATTGCTGTAGTATAACTGAGAGCTAGAAGAGTGTCTGGTAATCGTCCCAATTCCGGCAGACGTGGAACTCGACCCAGCCTCATGGAGTATTTGTCCGTCCTTTGGGTGAGCAGTAGCAGTGAAAGATTGGTATTCCAAGGCTGAAGAAGGTATTACAACGGTTTCGGTGACACTGGGCTTGCCTGGAGCTTTCTCTTTGTAGCCACCTGGAAGAGGATGCAGCGGTTGCTGGCTATCATCAATGGCCTCACCCCAGAGGTTCAGGCGCCAGTTAATGAAAGTCCCCGTCCGTTTGTTGACATTTATATCTTGGACAATGATTGTCCATACTCCAATTCCCGTTTCGCCCCTGCATTATCTCAGTTCATGGCAGAACATAGAGGAGTTAGTCCAGTTTAGCTTACCAATGTGCCACAGACGTGAACTCCCAGTTGACATAGCCCGCGCGTTTGCGGTCAGGTACCCTTGGAGTGCTCAAATAGCTTATAGTCCCCTCGGGGCTAATAAGAGTGACGCTGATATCTCCGCGGCTTATATGGTCTATATTAATCGTGACAGTAACATGCTCTAGCCGTGCAATGTTGGCCGTCTGAATGATATCAGATGTCACATTAAAGGAATGCGATACCCCATTATGCCCCTCAGGAATTGCTGCATGCACCTACATGGCTGGAATTTAGACTTTGGAGTCATCGCCTTAAAAGATGGGGTACAGAGCACACATACTGCAAACCAGGGAGAATGATACCATGCCTGCCGCTTCACCAAATTCCAAGAACGAGCCTTCTGGACCAGACTGTATGCGTCGACCTTCCCATAACCCCAGTCATGGCTAAACATTCGGCCGCTTGATGTGGTTTGCCAGCTACCATCCTGTACATGAACCGGGACCGCGGTCTCAACGAGGAGGTACTGGACGTCCCGCCAGGTGAGTTTCGGTCGAGCGCTTAAAGCCAAAGCGATGACCCCTGCCACCAGTGGGCCAGCAGCCGAAGTGCCACTATGAAGGCTAAAGCATGTATCGACGCCGTTGTCGGTAGTGTATATACCTTCGCCAGAGCCACTACTGAAGGCAGACACCAGCAAGGCTGAACAAGATTCTGAGTAAGGGGGATGCTTGCCCATCCTGTCGATCGCCCCGACAGTAATACTGTATATACTATTAGCATATCCATCAAAGTTACAGTTATCGTCCTGAGAGGCGCCATTTCCAGCGGAGAAGACAAAGATAGAGCCTTTCCCGCCACGGCCATTTTGTACCCCGTTCACTATTGCTCGTTGAACTAGCACTGCTGGACCTTCCATGTGCATGCCGTCATCTGGTGGGCCCCATGAGCAAGAGTAGATGTCATTATGTTGGTAGTCATAGTTGATGGCCGCGGCCTGATGGATATCGTCAACTTTTGCAGAAAGCAAGCGAATCCCCGATACTCTGCTATTGTACGCCACTCCAATCCCGCAAACATCGTTCCTGGCTGCCGCTATTTCCCCGGCACATCGAGTACCGTGGTGGTCGTCTGGTAGGCGCGGTCTTGGTTCTGCGCCGCCGTCGTTGAAATCAAACGACCCTCCTGCGTAGTAGTTCTGTTGTAGATCGAGACTGTCCATATCTAAGCCGTCATCAACAATAGCCGTGGTGGCATTCTCCCCAGTGATGCCCTCAAGCCAGACACCAGTCACATTGAGGTCATTTCCCAGTTGTACGGGGTTAAAAAGATGCCATTGTTCACGGAACATGGGATCTTTTATGTTGAGCGCGTCTGCAACTTTTTGCTGTGCGCGGACTGCCTCCGGGTTCGGCTGGCCCTGCCAGAAAGAATCCAAAGACAACCCTGTCGGAACTCGCCTTTTTGCCAGTTCGGGGACGGTAAGTCTATCTGCCCAAAGGATCGCATCCCGAAATTCATCCAGGTGTTCATCTCGTTGAGTGTGAGTTCCTTGAGCCCACATCAAGCTGTCAATGCGTGGCCCGTTTTCCTTGGGCAAAGAAAAGGCATGGTGAGCCGGGAGCTCGCCGATGGACCCTTCGTACTCGGCGCCGAGTACATTTGCGACCTCATGCGGATCAGTACGGCTATCAAGCTGGAGAGCAAAGTACTCTCTGGTTTCATATGACCTGGGCTGCAGATTGGCAAGGACGACGCAAAGAAGAGCGAGGAATGGTACAATACTTCGGACCATTATATACATCTTGAAGGCATAGACTCATAGCAGCAGAGAATAAACCATTCATGGGTCATCTCACATGAATTGGAGATGTGATGGGCCTGAAACTGTGATTTACCACATTGGGGAGACTGTCCCTGTCTCTAGCATCTCAGTTGTTGCTAGTGTGTGGCGGAATGGTGTGGTGCGTGTGCATGAGAATGAACCAAGAAGATGGTCATGCACTACAAAGAGCATGTGACATGTATTACAATGCTCTCTGATGTATCATATGTGATGGAAAGAAGGGGCGGGATAGAAATTCACACTATTATATGTCTGCATGGTGCTAAAAGCTGTGGTGCCTTGCCGGTATGTGATATATCATTTTTTCAACCATGCTGATCGCCAATCCATCGCTCATCCTTCCGGTTTCAACACGCCGATTGCAGAGATTTTCATAGATGCATTCCGTCCTACCAATCACATGGGAGGTTAGATATACGCTGCGAGAATCAAACCTTCTTCCATGCAATTACAATTACCGCGGAATGGCCAACACATCACTTGCGAACTGCCGGTCAATTGTTGACCCCGCACGTTCGACCGGCCTCAGCAGTCAATTCTGGCGGTGGCGATGAGTATGACTACTTTATGTTTGTAGGTCTATGCACGAACATGTGGGGCGACAATAGCTGTAACTTTAAGACTAAGTTGTAGTACAAGCAGGAGAGGCGCGCAATTACGTGGCATTGACCTACTCGAGCATTATTCACTCCTGATGTTGCTATTGGTATAATCAATTGCAGTTGATAAGATTACTATCTATGGAAAAGAAGAAGACACCTCGCGGGTGCATGCTGAATAGAAAGACACTTGGATCTCAAATTCATGGAGTCTCAGATTACTTCAGTTTCATTCAACGACAGCTCAATGAGAGTAAGGAATGGATGTATCGAACAACAAAGCATGCTATCAATCTGCAGGTCCGATGCCGTAGACGAGGAAATTTATCCGTGGTATGTTGCGTTCCCAACAAGACGACGTATCAATGACTTGCTTAACTGTGACACCTGTGCTGTGAGCTTAAGCTTTCTAATTGCTCGCTGAAGTCTTAACTTACATTTCAGTCTACATCGTTTCGGGAACCCATCGAGACTTGAATTTAGGCCAGGGCCTCAGCCTCTTCCTCCTCGCCTCTGTAGGCGATCTTGAAGTTGGGGCGTTT